GGTGGGTTTGCTGCAGAGGGGATGTCTCATCAGCCTCACGTAGCATTGCAGGGTGATGTGGGTCTGTGGGGTCTCTGGGCAGGGCTTGCTCAGAGCCCTTGTGCAGATGGGGATGTGGGGAAGCTGCGGGGTCCTGGGCTGGTGGGACTTCTATGCTGTGCAGGGAAAGTTCGCAGCGGTGTTAGTCCTGCCTGCAGGGCCTGAGCCTGCTGCCCTGTACCTGCCTGGGTGCTTCCCCAGAGAGTTTGCATAAGTAAATCATATCTCAAAGTTCTTGAAGGCTTTAGTGGTCACTCAGGCTGCTCTGGCTAGGCTGGGGCACGTGAGCCAGGAGGAAGGGTGCTGTCATGTTCCTAGAGTGTGTGTGGTTTCTTGGGAAAACGCTTTTTGGAAACCTGGTGGGGGAATGAGTGCTGACGAGGCTGTAGGGGTGCGGTGCCCATCCCAGAGGTGCTGGGGCTTGCGGATCTCCCAGGCTGTGGTGGTGAACCTCTCCAGCTGCCCTCGCCCTTTGCTCTGGGCTGGGGACTTGCGCCAGCAGAGCTTTGGCTCTGAATTTCATGCACAGGCAATGCTTTGCAACACAAGCCTGGCTCAAGAGGGGCTCTGGCACAGTCTCTTACTGATGCAAAGCTGAGCTGCATCTCGCTGGCTGCAGTAGTGCCTCTCCCCTGCTCTGTTCCCTGCACCCACGTTCCAGGGAAGGGCTGGGGATGGACAGGTAAAACCCCTCAAATGCAGCCAAATTGCCTGGCTGCACTGGGTTTGCTTTCTGACCTGCTGCAATGGGGAAGCTGAGGAAGGCTGAACCAAAGGGGAGAGCAGTGAGGGTCCGGGGAGAGGGGAATGCCCACATCCCTGCCGTCGGTGTGCCTGCAGCAGTGATGGCAGTGAGCAGCAATGTTGCTGTGACTCCTGCCGTGTGCTGGTTTTTATCACTTGTTCTGTAATGGCAAGTATGCAAACAGCATGCCAGGGGAGAGAGCAAGAGTTCCCAGCTATAAAAAGCTTTTGTTTTATCCTAGTGTGGCATCAGCCTGGCTCAGCCTTGGCAGAGTCTGAATGTGCTGCATTTAATGATGCTGGGAGGCAAAGCTGGCACTTGCCCGTCACTGCCTGGTCTCTCCTCTCCTCCCATCGAGCCTCAGCCCCTCCTTGGTGCCTGCCTGCCCTCTTGGGGCCCAGCCAGCTTTGGTGAGCTCACAGATGCAATTATGAATTGAACATGAGGGATAGAGGATTAAAACTGTGCTTAATATCTGAGGTGGCAGGTCATGGGAGCTTGGGCAGGGATCTGATAGCTGGTGCCCTCCTCCCTGCCAGCTGCCCGTACACAGGCTCGTGCACCACTTGCCCAGGCTGGGTTTGTCTCTTGGGCAGACAGAACTAATCCGTCCTCCTTTGAACAGTGTTGTCCCAGTGCACATCTGCACAGGCACGCTGGGGTGCCTTGGGTTTGGTCAAGGTCTGGCTCTCAGGTTTGCAGGTGAGAGGGTCAGCACCGCAGCTCTGGCTCACTCTGCAGTTCCGAGGCAGGCTGCACCCGGACAGTGTGACCGACACCAGCACGGCACCCTTCGAGGTGCATTGCCCTTCCCCTAAGCGGGCTGGACCCAGACCTTGCATGTGCCAAGCTCCTGCAGCCATCACAAGCTCCCCTCTATCTGCTAAATGCCAGGCGCTGATTTATCTGCTTTACATGTCTCGGATCATGCCTCACCCACACCTTTGGTGAAAGCGATTAATAGAACTGGAACTGTATGTGTGAACCTGAAACACTTAATTAGGGTGGTTTTGTGCATGCAGCCTGGTTGGGGTGGATAAGGCTGTGGGACAGGGATTAAACAGTGCAGGGACTTTACATCTACTTAAGCTGGAGTGCCAGCATGCAAAAACTTTAAGATTGGGGAGGGTGATTTACACCTTACATAGGCTCAGGATGCCAGTGCCAGCCAAAGCAGATTGTCCTGGCCCTGCATGGGGGGCTACGCTCGTGCACCAGCTGGAGAAAGGTGGGCTTGTGTCCAGCTGTCTCTAAATGACCCCAAGTTATTTCCCCAGGAATCTACAAAAGGGTGTTTGAGCTCCTTGCAGGAGAAACACTGGCACAGAGGAAGCCCCTGCTCCATCCTCCCTGGTCTAAGGGATGGCTCCTACTCGCTGCCACGGCAGTGCTGGGCATCGGTGGGCACGGGGAGCCTGTTGCTGCAGGATGGTATGCAGCCCCTCGCCCTCAGCATTGCCCTGGGAGGAATCCAGGACCTTGCAGGCATCTTGCTCTGGTGCTAGGTTCTGTTTGCAGGGGAAAATGCCCCATGATGAGGCATCCTCCAGGAGCTGCTAAACACCCGCTGCAAAGGGCTCCATAGCTGCTACTTGAGCTGCCTCACACCTCTACCTCCATGGCCAGGCAGACCCTGTGCTCCCTCAGATGTGTCTGGGACCAGCTCTGGCATGTCTTTCCTCTCTCCGAACACATCTGTGGGCACCAGGAACTCCATGTGCCATCCAGCAAGGAGACCTGCACTGCTTGTTCCCTGCATCCCATCTCTCCCCAAGTAGGGATCTTCCCTAATCCATCCTGACTTTCTCTCTATGTATAAAGAAGTATTTTAAAATATCCATTGTTTATTCTGTAGCAACAGCCAAAGGAGCTGCTCTGATTCATGGCATAAACATATTTTCCCAGAGTTTTCTAAACAGCCAGTTGACCCGCTGGCCAGCACTTCCCCGCAGGGTCTCTCCGGGACTGGCTCTGCCTCCCCCTGCCTGTGGCAGCAGCGGCTGTGCAGGTAGAGAGCCGGGCCGGTGGTTCTGGCCCATGGCAGGGATGGGCAAGGGGAGAGGATGCTTTCCCTGGTGACAGCCCTGGGCTGGAAGGTGCAGTCGGGGTCTCCAGCACCGTGGGGGCTCAGGTCGAGGCTCTAGAGCAGCAGGGATGGGGGTCAGGGCTGTGCGAGACCCAGCATCTCTGTGCTTCAGCTTTTCCAGCTGTAAAACTGGGACAAAGATACTGGGCCATGTTACTTCCCCTGCCTTGATGAAACGCCTGGGACTCTCCCTTCCTTTCCCCAGTCGGGTCGGCTCCCTGGGAAGGGAGGAGGGCACTGAGCTCTCCTGTCCGGGAGTGGGAGGAAAAGTCTCATTTAAGTGCCAGAGAGAAGACATCAGAAGTGGTGTTTTGGAAGCCTGCTTTGGCACCTCAAGAAAGCCTGGCTGTTTGTCCCGCCATGGGCAGTGTCTGTCTGTTACTCACTTTGAATGCGGTGGGAGGTCCTCTCCAGGGCACAGAGATGGTCTGAAGGTGCCATGAAGGACTGGCTGCAGGAGAATACCCTGTAAACCCCCCCGGGCTGAGTCCTGCAGCCCTTTCGGTGCCCAGGAGCCGCACACAGCCCAGCTCTGCCGGGTGGGCACACACTGGGCAACTGGGGAGGCAGAGATGAGGATGGAAAGCGGAGGCGAGGATGGAAAGCCACCAGCCCCTGGTCACCCAGCAGGGTGGTGGCAGAGCTGGGAACAGTCGGGCATCCTGCCCCTGTGCCGGGCCTCTGCCAGATCCATGGAGCCAAGCCCAACACCCTCGTTACCCATGGACATCCCCACAGATGCTCTTGCTTTACTTTTCTGGCACAAAATCCAGCGGCGGCTCCGTGTGCTGATGCACACTGGAGTTACATGAGCAGCGACATTGAAAAGACGACAAGTTCCCTGTACGCATCTTGTTTGTGCTGTGCACCGTTCCAGTGGAGGGACAAATCGCGCTGTAAATAGCAAGTCCAGGGCTTGGTCCAAGCCAGCAATTAATGCCAGCGCTGGGAGCTAAAAGGGGTTGCATCAAGCCCTCATCTGACTGCTTTGAAAAACCAAAACAATCTTGTAAAGATCAAGCTTGTAAAAATGGGGCTCTGTTTTGCTAGCTCATGAATGGGAAGAAATGCCAACTGGATAATTTTTTACACATATTTTTTTCCTCTTTGTCAACATTCCCCCATTTGGCTGAAACTTCAAAATGCCATATTTGGAGAGCGCCTGTCTTAGAAGTTCCAGTATTCGTATAAATAGCTGATAGTGAAAAAATTACCCGCTCTGGAGTCTGTCCAGGGGCCCTCAGGAGGAGTGGAGCTGGGGGCAGTGATGGGGCTGAGGCTGCTGGGGCTCTGGAGCAGCCCACTGCCTTCCAGTCTAAGGTGGCTCCCTGCCACCATGTGTGAGTGGAGAAGGAAGTGTGGGTGGGGGTCTCCAGAACACCAGCACCCACCCAAATTCAGGAGGGGGAGCAACAAAGGTCAGCCCGTTCTCCTCCATCAGCTGGGAAGGAGTTTTGGGCAATAAATGTGGAAGTGAAATGGTGACTGTGAGATGCCCTGGGTGCCGTCTTTTGGAGCGGGGCTGTCATCTTGTCATCCCTCTGCTGATGTTGGGGGGACAGGGCTGTTGTCCCCACCAGGGACAGCCTGTCCTGCCCAAGGAGAGCCTGAGCACAGTGAGGGGTGTACGGAGAGAGACACGTAGCAAAGTCCTGGGATGCACGGTGAGGGGTCTAAAGCAAGGGATGCAGGGCAAGACGCTGAGGTGCATGGAGAAGGACCAGAGCACATGGTGAGGAGTGCGCAAAGGGAATGGAGGGATGCAGGGTGAGGGGTGCACAGAGAAGGACCCGGGCGCATGGTGAGGGGCTGGTATGAGCATGGCGTGGTGCAGGGTGTGTGGAGAACAAGGACAGATGGTGTGGGACCGGGGCGAGGGGCTGAAGCGCAGGGTGAGGGGTGCAGGGAGAGGGATGGGAGTGCAGGGTGAGGGGCGCAGGGCGAGGGACGGGAACGCAGGGGGAGGGGCTGGAGAGCACAGTGAAGGGCGCAGGGAGAGGGATGGGAGCGCACGGTGAGGAGCACAGGGAGAGGGATGGGAGTGCAGGGTGAGGGGCGCAGGGAG